ACACACACACACACACACACACACACACACACACACACACACACACACACACACACACACACATTTTTTCATATTGTGTAAGAGTACTGATAAATTAGTCCATGTCTGTAGGTGAGCACACACTGAACCTGATGCACAAAGACCAGTGTAACAGACAAAGCTGATAACTGCTGTAAAAAATCTCTCTGATTGGGGTTTTAGGTTTTATCAAGCCAGCTATTGCAAAAAACAAAACAAAAAAACAACAACAACAACAAAAACACAGCTAGGTTGAAAGCCTCTGTGGAGACAGACTAGTAAACAAAACCTGTTGTTTCATTCTGTTATTGCTGCGTATGGAATATTCTGATTAGTGTTTTTTATCTAATGGGCTCTTTCTAGTGTGACACAGTGGTCCAGCAGTTAGCACTGCCTGCTCACATCAAGAAGTTCCTGGGTTCAAATACACTGGTCAGTGGGTGACTTTTAGTGTATAGTTTTATGATGTCCCCATGGGTTCTCCCTCAGTGCTCCAGCTTCCTGTTTAAGAACATACAGTACATACTGGGTAAAATGGTGATACTAAATCAGTTGTGATTGTGAATGGCTCTCTCTCCAGCATGTTATTCTTTCAGCTTCATGGTTGTATAATCATGCAGTGTGGAAAGTTGCAGTCATGCTTAAATGCAAAGTTTTTTTTCTCGTCACACATGAAATGAAATGATGCCACAGAGTGCTTATTTTCTTCACAAACACCTGCGCGCCTATTTGGAGAGTAAATAAGTACCATGTGACATCACTGATTTATGTATAAAGCAATAATGACAATAGTGACAAATTAAGTTTATAAATGAGGGAACACACACACACACACACACACACAAACCACCTCACCATAGTTGAACTGGCTGTTGCTCTTCTCACAGTTGATGACATTAAAACGGTATGGGACATCGGCTGCCATGTTACTAACTTCAAAGTAAAACCACTGGGTATGCTGAGAAGAGTTAACATCTGGATTCAATATGAGGTCATATTCATATCTAGAAGAGAAGAGAGGACATTGTTGCTTTGTACTGCATTTAAAATGAAATATGATTTATTTTCTCAGTAATTAGTAATAATGAAATGTAAGCTTAGATCTCCTAAACTTGTGTGTGTGTGTGTGTGTGTGTGTGTGTGTGCGTGCGTGCGTG